CTACAAATATTCGAGAACCCATATTTGAAAAAAAGAAAAAAAAGAAAAGGAAATAAAAGGAAAAGAACACAAGAAAACATAAGATGACAACATGAAACAGACAAATAACAGAGTTCGCGTGGCGAATCATACATAATGATTAACCAGACTGCCTTTGCAAACGTTGCATGGCAGTCCCCTCCCCCCTCTCCCCTCTCCCCTAATTTAGCTTTCCTACTTATTTGTCATACAGCCTGCAATTGAAAATTATGCACTGTCTGACCTTTGTTTCTACATTTCCTTGTAAAAAAACAAAAATAATAAATAAAACTAATATCTTCCTACAAATCTACTCCATCATGGTCTTTTTCCATGTAAAGGTTAATCAAAAAAAAAAAAAAAAAAAAAAAAAAAAAAAAAAAAAAAAGGATAAACCACCCTCTGTGCTATCTCCATCTCAATTCAAAACTTTTCTATCCTGCCTTCATTGTATAACGCTTACAATTCAAAGACTATGCCATATCTCCCCTTCTTTCTACCTTCAACAGTTCTCAAAACAAATACCTTACTACAGATCGACTGCATTGTAACTCATTAACATTTGGATTAAGGTAGTGTTCTGAAACTCCTGCTAGTAAAATTGCATTGAGAAACTACTTCTCTTTTAACCTTTGCAGCAACACAGCAAAAAAAAAAAAAAAAAAAAAAAAAAAAAAAAAAAAAAAAAAAAAAAAAAAAATCACTACATCAATAAATATTCCTTTCAAGTTGCTTCTACAGTGTAAATACATTTCCTCTGTGCTGTCTCCATCTCAATTCAACACTTTTCTCTCTTGCCTTCATTATACATACATCTTGCCATTTCAAACTACAGTAAGCCATATCTCCCTACTTGTACATTCCAGTTAATAAAACCAATGACTTCCTGCATATCAACTGCGATTACATCAATGGTCTTTTTCATGTAGGAGTACAACAATAGAAGGGTTAAAACCCCCATGTATAAATTATCATATGTCCAACCCTGCATCTTCCCTCCATTATTATGCCTTTTTATCTACTAACCAAAGTACATATTCCATCTTCCTTTCTGTCAATCTTCTGTCATTAATACTTGGATTAAGACTGTACTCTGAAACTAACCTAAACAAATTTGCATGAAGAAATCCCTTCTCTTTCATATTTGTAATAACATATAAAGAATTCATACTCTCTACCTTTCTTTTTCTGTGCAAGAAACATTTCCACTCTCAACTTTACTGAAGGAAATATTCTACATATAATATTTCTTCAAAATAGCTCCTCTATTACATTTCCTCTGTGCTATCTCAATCTCAATTCAAAACTTTTCTATCCTGCCTTCATTGTATACCGCTTGCAATTCAAGACTATGCCATATCTCACCCTTCTTTCTACATTCAACAGTTCACAAAAGGAATACCTTACTACAGATCGACTGCATTGTAACTCATTAACATTTGGATTTAGGCAGTGTTCTGAAACTGCTGTAAGTAAAATTGCTTCGAGAAACTGTTTCTCTTTTAACACTTGTAACAACACAGCAAAAAAAAAAAAAAAAAAAAAAAAAAAAAAAAAAAAAAAAAAAAAAATTCAACAGTTCTCAAAACAAATACCTTACTACAGCTCGACTGCATTGTAACTCATTTACATTTGGATTAAGGCAGTGTTCTGAAACTGCTGCAAGTAAAATTGCATTGAGAAACTACTTCTCTTTTAACATTTGCAACATCACAGCAAAAAAAAAAAAAAAAAAAAAAAAAAAAAAAAAAAAAATCACTTTATAAATATTCCTTCCAAGTTGCTTCTACAGTGTAAATACATTTCCTCTGTGCTATCTCCATCTCAATTAAACGCTATTCTCTCTTGCCTTCATTGTACATACAGTGTACAGCTTGCCATTTCTAACTACCGTATGCCATATCTCACCTTGTACATTCCAGTTAATAAAAGCAATGAGTTCCTGCATATCAACTGCGAATGCTTCGCGCCATGACCGTCATGTAGGGGTACAACAAAAGAAGGGTTAAAACCCCCATGTATAAATTATCATATGTCCAACCCAGCATCTTCCCCCCATTATTATGCCTTTTTATCTACTAACCAAAGTACATGTTGTACATTCCAGTTAATAAAACCAATGAGTTCCTGCATATCAACTGTGATTGCATCGCGCCATGACCGTCATGTAGGGGTACAACAAAGGAAGGGTTAAAACCCCCATGTATAAATTATCATATGTCCAACCCAGCATCTTCCCCCCATTATTATGCCTTTTTATCTACTAACCAAAGTACATGTTGTACATTCCAGTTAATAAAACCAATGAGTTCCTGCATATCAACTGTGATTGCATCGCGCCATGACCGTCATGTAGGGGTACAACAAAAGAAGGGTTAAAACCCCCATGTATAAATTATCATATGTCCAACCCAGCATCTTCCCCCCATTATTATGCCTTTTTATCTACTAACCAAAGTACATGTTCCATCTTCCTTCTGTCAATCTTCTGTCATTAACACTTGGATTAAGACTGTACTCTGAAACTAACCTGCCTTCATTGTATAATGCTTGCAATTCAAGACTATGCCATATCTCACTCTTCTTTCTACATTCAACAGTTCACAAAACAAATACCTTACTACATAGTACAGATCGACTGCATTGTAACTCATTCAACACTATTCTATCCATACTGCATGTCATCCTAAATTCACAATACAAAACAGCCTACGGTAATAACAAAATTCCTTATCTCAATACAACCTGTTCTATGTGTACAGCTTGCATTTCCAACTATGCACAATCTCACCTCCTCCTACCTACCCCAGTTCACAAAACTCCTTTTCTTATTTCATATAAATGGACCAGCAACCGGCAACCTTTCTTTAAGATGTCTTCAAGAATTCCAATAAAACTTAATAAAACAGATGCCATCCCCTTAAAAAGATTTGCTTTTGTTGTCAATCTAAGTATTATGCATATGATATGAACATTTTTAGCCTGTCCACTGTAATAGTCAAAATTTGTCGTTTACAGGAATTTTATTCTCTCTCTCCCGGAGTCGTTCGCATTTCTATCTACATCATGCTTCCTATTACTCTCAACATCTTGAACCTACTTTGAATTTCACTAGTTATAAAAGCACAGTTAATTGTTTCCTTCAAAGGAGGAGTTTCTGCTTTTATATCAACTATCGTCTGCGGGTTATACACTCATTAATTGTCATGTTTTTCTTCTAATTTTGAATCACTTATCACACTGCCTGAATGCAAAGTCTTCTTTCATAAGTGCAGTTTTTAAATTACAAAATGCAGTTACTAAAACAAACAACAACAAAAAAACAAAAAACAAAAAAAACAAAGCCAAGCCACTAATTCTTCTTTCAATGTGAAGGCTTGAAGGTGTAGATTATCTAGATCCTTGATAAATAATTCATACCATCAAAAATCATTTTCTTTTCTTTTTTTTCTTTTTCTTTTACCCAGCTTAACACATCATTAGGTAACTCTGTTTTTTTTTTCTCCGTTTAAATGCAACATAAAAGAAACACGGTATAATTCTTACACATAATATACAGGCCAGCAAGAAAGTATTATTTCATGTCCTTTCTTTCTCTTCTTCAAAAATACCAAAAAAATTTCCTTAATGTCAGTTCTCAGCTACTTGAGTACTTCTTCTTCTCTTCAAACGTTGGTTTTTGTTTTTTTTCCTTTCCTTTCCCTGTACTGAAGAATACCTCACTACTTCGTATCTCTCTGCTTCTTGCCGAGCTGATTTCTCACTTTCATTCCAGTTTCAGATAGTTTGCTGTTCCAATCTTTAGGCTGATTATATTTATCGTTAATAATGTCTGTTCTCCTTCTGTTTCTCTCTTTCATCCTTCTTCAGATCATAATGATTGCTCAAATAATTCTTAATAATAGATTATACTTATCTAGCTTCCTGGTTAAACTGGCTTTACACCCTCCACTTGTACTTCCATCCCTTCGTCTGCCATCCCTTCGTCTGCCTTGGCCTTTCCGTCACTCCTTACGTTGGTCGCTCCTCGGGATAATTCCTTGGTCGACGTCGCTCCGGGTATCGGGTGTAGTGGGCTGTTAGAACGCTTGTCTTGTCCTTTTGGTCCTGTTCTTCTGCATTGGTCGATGAATCCTGCCTGCTTTTCTATGGGTAGGACTACCCTATCCACGTACAGCTTCCATGGCTCCGTTTTCGAGAAATAAGCCAACTTCCCCGCATTTCTCGCTTCTCTCAGTGCTTCCATTTGTTGTCTTCTCCGTTGTCTCGTTCTAATTGGCAAATCCTGCGTAATGTACATCTTTGTGCCTTTAAGATTTTTTGCATTTTTCAATACAAGTTCTCTGTCCGCGTAATGCACAAATCGAGCCTTTATTGGTCTCGGCCTCACTGCCGCCGCAATGCGATGAACTCGTTGGTATTGTATTCCTTCTATCAGGCCGAACTCTAGCTTCAGATGCGACGTATAAAATTCTTCTAACACCTTGGACACATTCTCCGCCCCATTTTCAGGTTCCTTCTCCGGAATTCCTAAAAACACCAAGTTTTCTCTGCTTATGTATGTGCTTAGTCTGTCTATCTCCTCCTTTAATTGCATTCTATCTTCTTCCACTTGCTTTTTCATATTCGGAATGGTGTCATTTTTCAAATGTTCTATGTCATTTGCGTTGTAGTCGACAGAAGTGATAACTTCAGCTATTTTGGCTTCGAACTGCTTAATTTCTGTAGTTATTCTGCTTTCTAGTCCTCGAATTTCCATCTGAAATTTGTTCCAAATTTGTTCTGACTGAGCATCGAGCAGCTGTTGAATTGAAGGTAAAAGCTCCTGCGGGCTGCCACGTAGGTCTTTTCTCAGTTGCCCATCCGCGCCCGAGCGCTGGCGGGCTCTCTTGGGATGTGCCATAATAATTGCACGTGGCACGTGGTATTGGGCGTGGTATTGGGTGGAGAGGAGAGGAGCGGAGCGAAACGGAGGAGGTCCTTACTCTATGACGGTCATGGCGCGAATCACCAAGCCTGCAATCCGTCGACTTGCTAGAAGGGGAGGTGTCAAGAGGATCTCTGGTCTCATCTACGAAGAGACACGCGGTGTACTGAAGGTCTTCCTGGAGAATGTCATCCGTGATGCAGTCACCTACTGCGAGCACGCCAAGCGAAAGACTGTCACAGCCATGGACGTGGTGTATGCACTAAAGAGGCAGGGTCGTACATTGTACGGCTTCGGCGGCTAAGTGTAGCAGACCTCTCTCTCTCCTGGCTAGAATAACAGCTGGTGTTAAGCTATCGATTTTGATATCGGTATCGGGCTCTTAATTTCATCAGTAAATTTTCCGCTCGATTTAAGAGCTCTTGACTGCTCTAAACACTAACACTAACACTAACACCCAACTTGAAATCACTCATTGTCATATTTACCACCATGATTGTTGAGACAATATACTGTAACCCTCCAATTTTCATTAACTCAAACAACTTAATACATCATAGTGAATAACATACTATTGAAACGCATTATCACTACCAAACAAATCATCTTTCAGAGAATAACATTCCAGCATTGCGTCATGATATTAGTATTTATTCATTATCATTAATCTTCCCATTTTGATATTCCATAACCATAATAACAACCTCTTCTTTACTTAAATACTTGCATGTCTCATTGTCCAATCAAGCTTGATCTCTGATTTGAGTGTCTCCTTCAGAGTGATGGTTTCCATGCATGTACCCTGTCTCCTACTCCAACTCAGTCAAAAAATGAGCACTTTGCAAGGTTCATGGAATGCTGCAACTTCAATATACGGATCAGGTCGACAATCCTTAACCTGGGGAAAAAAAGCATGGATGTATGATCTTGTTATCCATCTATCTATCAATCCAGTTTTCTAAATGTGTACCATCGTTTTAGATTTCTAAAATGTTATCTATCAGTTCGAAATACATGTACATGTCATGACGTGAGTGATATGTTTAAAGATACTAAGGTTTGAAAGTCAAGGAGTGACAACACATAAATCCTTCAACTCATCACCTTAAGTAAAGGGTTTTACCATCTTTACAACCTGCTTTCAATGTGATGTCCATGGCAGATGATATCATTGATAAGTGTAAGGTAAGCCAACAAAATATTGACAACCATTTTAAGAAGGAAAATATTATTTGTTTTTATGTAAACATTTATTCATTTTTGCTAGCAATATTTAATATCTTGTTTTGGGGGGTATTTTTTTGGTTTTTTGTTCTTGTTACTGCTTTGATATTTTGATGTAAACATTTATTCAATTTTATATATTTGTTCTCATTTGCTATGTTTATTTAAATATTTATATATTTATATATATATATATGTATGTTTTTTAGTGCTTTTTTTTATATGATTGTATGTTTGATGTAAACTTGCATTTTTAGACGTTGGGCTTTTTGACAAGTCTTGAATAAAACCTCATTTGAATTGAATTGAATTAAATTCATTTTTGCAAGAATGAAGACATAATAAATGAATATGTTTATTTATCAACAAAATTAAAAAATTTACTTGTTTGTTCTTCTCATTTTACTACTAATATTAAAAAGCAATCTTAACAGCTTCATGGTGACTATAATATGTAGGGATGACCTCTGTTTCCAATAAATCTAGTCCCTTGCTGTACACATGATCTATCAATGTTCCCTTCTCAGTAGTAGCATTAACAACATGCTGTTTGTAACCTTTATTACACATTAGCTTGTTTACCTGTGAAGAACCTTTAAACAAATCCTCATTAAAATCTCCCATCACAATACACCTAATGCTTCTTTTGTGTAATGCATCTAGCAAATTGTCTAATGATTCACAGAATGATTTGATACTATATGATGGAGGTCGATAAACAACTGAAATCACAACAGAAACTGGTTTGGTGACAAGAATTGCGATAAACTCTAAGTTGTCGACAGATATGTTTAATCTACTTGAATATGTATTCTTGATATAGATTGCAACACCTCCGTGCGATTGTTCTTTGAGTACATTTCCAACTCCAGAATTACAGTATGACAGATGTCGTGGCTGATGATAAAATCGAAAGTTATCTAAAATAACATCACATAGATCATCATCATTAATCCATGTTTCGGTCAAGCAAATACAATCTACATTCACAAATTGGCACTGGGATTTGAAATCAGTAAAATACTGCTTTAATCCTTGTACATTTTGCATTACCAAAGAAAAGTTATAATCGTGAATATCTTCAGAAGTTTCATTCTCGATAAACGGCTTCATAATCTCAATGCGTTCTTTAATTTCTGGATTACAATATATACGTTTAGGATCGAAATGTGCTATCACTAGTCCAGATAACGAAGTAACGCGACTAAGACCAACATATGCCTGTCCAGATTGAAATACATTTTTTAATGATACAACAGCTTTGTCTAATGTCGAATTTTCTATGACAGGTGAAGCATATCCATAGTGACGATCTGGCTGACTGGCCTATTAAACATATTGACCGGCATTCTAAATTGCAAACATGCAAATATTCTTCACTTATGCATGTCTGAATTTTATAATTATTCTTTTTACATTTCAATACTTGGTTCTCAAAAAGAAGTTTTAAGCATACACAGCACACATATTCTGGGCCATGAGAAATTATCTTTCTAAATTCTTCAAGTACAATATCAAACTCGGACAATTTTACTGTTCGAAGTGCAAACCTTTTTTGATTTTGTTTTATTACATTTTGCCTATATTTTTCAATTTTGTTATATTTCATTTTTAAGCTCATCAATTTCTTTTCCTTAAATTCTTTACCTTTGTATCTAATTTTTGACAATATTTTCATGGTATCTTGTTGTTTTTCCTTGAAATGTTGATCGTTTAAATATTTACTTCTTATTTTGTCTTTGTGCATTCGTCTGAAATGTTCATTGTTGCGATATAATTCCTTCATTCGTTTTTTTCATGGTATTTCGATGTTTTTCCTTGAAATGTTCATTGTTCGAATATTTACTTCTTATTTTACTTTTATGCATTCGTTTGAATTGTTCTTCGTTCCAATATTTATTTTTCATTTTAGTCCTCATAACTGTTTTAACATTTTCTTTGAATCCTTCATTTATCAAATATTTCTGTTTATTTCTATACAAAATTTTCTTTTTATAATGTAAATCAGAATGATATTTGGTTTTCATAATATTTAGCTGTATGTTCCTGAAATTTGAATCCTCTTTATACATTTCTTTTTGGCTTTGTTTGACATAAGCTCCTTGCTTTATTTTGTGTGATAAATCATTGTTGTAATTCTCTTTTTGTCTTTGTTTTACTTCATTTATTTTTTTGATTTTGTAGGTTAAATCATTTTGATATTTATTCTTCGATTTAATTTTCCTAATTTGCGCATTGTGAATACACTTTTCCTTTTTCTTAATGATTTCATCTTTGGTCAAGGCTCGTTTTTCTCTCATTCGCTGTCTACTGCGCTTCCTAATTTGATTAGAACTTTGTCTGTTTTTACGTGTTTTTTTTCCTGGGTCTACATTTCTAACATGAACTTCTCCAATTATTATTAATTCGTCATTACTATCAACACATTTGCTTGCATCAATTCTTAAGCTGTCGTTCTCATTCATTTTCACCCATTTGGATTTTCGAATTTCCTTGCCAAGGTCAACATCAACTTTTGCATCGCTTTCGAGATTACTCCATTTTCGTTTTCTGCTTAAGATAGAGTTGGAATTCTGAAGTTTGGTCACTAAATTCAATCTATCAGAGTCATTTTCACATTTAGTACCATTTTTTGAGTCTCCCTTTTGTTCATGTTCATATTCTGTTTTCATGGAGTCATTTCCTTTCAGAAGACAACTATTATCCAGCTGTGGTTCTTTTAGTTTGGTTAAGGTAATTGTCACACTCTTCAGTTTTAATTCCTGACCGTTATAATGTACATCATGACTGATCGTTTCATTTGCTTCTTCAGGGAAGAGAAATACATTTGGGTTATCAATCATCTTTTGTGGGGAAACACTCTCATCCAATATTTGAACTTCATCAAAGCTTTCACAATGTATGGAACATCCAGAGCTTCCAGACTGACTTTCACTGTGCGTATTTGACGAAGGAATTGGATTACAAACAAAATCCTGTAACTGTGGATAGCCTTTCAAGGTTTCATTCTTACCGGAAGTTGCTTTAGCACATACACTAGTTACTTCATATTCGGTGTGCAGGGGGCATCCCATTGATTTTGCTAACCTCATGCAATGCTTGTACACACCTTGCCAGTTTTGAGTACGAAGTACAACACTGTGTCCGTTACAACTCAGGAAACCTCGACTGCTTCTGGAATGTGAATCAAATATAAAGAAACCATCTTGACCAGATAATACAATGAAAGTACTTCTAGCAAATGTCACAAAACATGCATCAGAATCAGTACAGAGTTCTTTTTCGAGTGCTTGCTTCAATGTCATCGAAAGAGACTGGGCCAATATCAATTCATCTCCATCTAACAATCCAGTGACTGGTTCACGGCATACTATGTTAAACAATTCATTGTACGCATCCAAATATTCAAATAGATCAGATATCAATAAGTATTCGTTGTCGAGTGAAGTGGATCGCCGTATGTAACAGTATAATTCATTACCGTTATTCAAAATCCTGTCTAGATCTGCACTTTTCCAATCATTGGCATTTTTTACCTTGCTATACAACAGTGCAGATAGTGAATTGGTAACACACTGCTTTCCACTTAAGTGACCAAATCTTGTATCACCTTGATTGAATGTCCCTTGGGCAACAAGCGTTATTTGTGTATCGACTCTCGTGCATTTGTCTTTGTGATCACTTTCAAGGGTTTCATCCTTTACGTTCGTTGTGAACGACTGATTCAGACTGATTACTTGCACACTGTTCATATGTCATGTCAAAAAGATTTGCAGTACTTTTCCTCTCATCGTGATTTATTGTACCAGTCTCCAACGTGAGCCTACGTTTTTTTTCCCTTTGGATCAACATGGTTTTGAAATTTTTTAGGAGACTTATCCACTACTTCATCAATTTCTTCCTCTATCTGCGACTTGGATATACACTTCTTCAACACATGCTTTACTTTAACATCAGCCTGAATTGATTGACATGGCAAAGTTCTCTTTGACGTTCTATCTTCTTTAGTTGTTCTTGTCTGTTCCAATGAATTGAAATTGACAAAATCTACAGATTCAACAACATTAAAATGAACATTTCCTGTGTACAGTATATAAATTCCCTTATCAGATGTT